CAGCAGCCCTCAGTCAGAGCAAGAAGCACAGGAGCCCCCCCCCCCCAGCCCCCTGGTCCAAAACAGTCCAGTGGCACCTTTAAGACCAAGTTTTATTCAGGTACAAGCTCTCCCTCCTCTGTGAGGACAGATCTGCACATCCCCCCCCAATAGCTAGCAATCCAAAACAGTCCAGTGGAGACTGAGCGGTGGGTGTTGCCTTCCGACGCACGTCCGGTGATGTCAGCGGGGTTGACTTATGCCAATAAGTTATGCTAATGAGTTATGCTAATGAGCTCCTGCACCTCTTTTTCTATGAAATGACCCCTGCGGGAGGCTCACCCAGCCAGGTGTTCATCTTGCTGGAGCTGCAGTGCTCAAGCTGGGGTAGGATCAGGACGTCAATATCGCTTTTGGGCTCCTCTTTCGTGAATTCCTTCAGGAGACACAGGATTGGAGAAATTGGCAGAGGACAGGACAGGCAGCAGATATGGTTGAGAAACAGGCAGCAAGCAGAGCCCGAGTTAATGACGAGTCAACATTTCATCTGCGTTGGTTTACAACGGCAGAGAGCGGTGGCAGACCCATGCCTCAGTCACACGAAGGGTAGGGTAGCGGTGGAGAGGCAGCCATACAAAGGGTGGGCACAGGGACCATTCGTGTTCTTTTTAAAGAAAGATTTATTGCCACTTGCCTCTCCATTAAACATGTTCGGGCAGCTCACAGCATTAAAACCAAAATACCCATAACAGAAACATTTGGAGACAAAGCAAGATGGGTAGTCTTATTAAGTCTGTCCGTAGCAGCGGAAAAGAGCAAGAGTCCAGTCGCACCTTAAAGGCTAACAAAATATGTGGCAGGGTAGGAGCGTCCGTGAGTCACTGCTCACTTCTTCAGATACAGCTAGAACAACTAACTAACTAGCAGGCTAACTTCATGATTCCACTGGGCTGTGACCAGTGTTCCCTCTAAGCTGAGTCACTGTGAGCTAGCTCACAGTTTTTTTAGCCTCCGGCTCACACATTTTTTGTCTTAGCTCAGGAAGGGAGGGCTCCAGGGCAAACTGATTTATGCAGCGGCCAGATGGCTCGCTCCCACCTTTAATGCCAGCAGCTCACAAAGTAGAAATTTTTCTCACAAGATTCCACATCTTAGAGGGAGCATTGGCTGTGACTTGGACTACGCTAAGCCCCACCACGATAGACTCTGCTACCGAGACAATGCTTAAGCCTCTAGCTTGATATTTTAAAAGGTGTGCCATCTAATACCAGGTACTGAAGTATTACATAGAGAGGTTAGCTTTTCTTGCTTTCTTGCCGCAAGATCGAAGAGACTGTGTTGCCTAGTGATATCTTATTTCCTAAAGTATTTAATAAACCTCTCCATATTTTACCAAGGTCCGGTTCCTGGTGTGCAGATAACCTTGAGGACCCACGGCTCTGAGTGCTGCCCGCTCGCCCAAGGGGTCGTGGCTCAGAGGGACTCAGGCTTGGGCCCTTGACATGGTAGGGTCACGAGGAAGAGGGTGCGGGAACTAGGAAACTGGCAGTTCAAGGTTTATAACTGTAAACACGAAACCTCATAAACTTTATCTAACCAGGAAGCTTCTAAATGCCAGTCTTTGACGGACGATGGTAAATTACTGGCAAGATGAACGTCAAAAGTCCCTCATGCACCATATTAGCAAAGCTCTTGGCTGCTTTCACGCACAATGGATAATGCACTTTAGCAATCATTTGCAACTGGACTCGAAAACCCACTTGCAAACGACTGCTAAAAGTGCATCGAAAGTGCATTCTCCAATGCATGTGAAAGAAGCCCTTGTCTTGTGCTGGCGGTGGTGAAGCCTTGCCATGAAAAGCATGTGTGTCTGGAAGGAGAGGGGATTCTTAGTGGTGAGCAGAAAGGCACTTTGCTTATGTTCGGTGGCACTCCTCGTCATTATTTCTTCCCACTTTCTAGGATTGAGTCCTGATACTGAAAGCTGATCTTATAGCTTAGGGCCTGGATCAAATGAAGCCCCAGATATCTCATTCTGGGAAAGTCACCCGATTAAATGGACAGCAGAGAAATCTTAAGTCTGCCCAGATTGATCACCGTTCGAGGGTCTTACCTCAATGGTGCGTTGAAGTGGATCAACAATTTGCCAGATAGCCAAGATGACAACGTCAAGCCCGACCAGCAAGCCAACTGTGGCATAGAGCTTCCAGGGTTCCAGAGTCTGGAAGAAAAAAGAGAATGGATAGGGGATGGAGCCTTGGGCTGCCCTGGCACCCCAAGAGACTTACGGGGTATTCTGGAACATAGAAAATAAGCCTCTCCCACAGGAGTTACTATAGGCCAAACGCCCTAAATTCCTGTGCTTTCTTGGACATCTAATCACTATCAAAGAGGAAGTTCAGTTGGTACCTCAGTTGAAATACACCATCTAACAAAGCAGGACATAAGAACTTTAACACACACAAACACACATATTTTGCCATTAAGTCACAGCTGACTTACAGTGACCTTGTTGGGTTTTCAAGGCAAGAGATGTTCAGAGGTGGTTTGCCACTGTCTGCGTCTGTGTAGGGACCCTGGACTTCCTTGGTGGTCTCCCATCCAAACACTAACTAGGGCCAACCCTGCTTAGCTTCTGAGATCTGATGAGGTCGGGCAAGCCTGAAACTATATAGGACCATTAAAAGAATAAGATCTATATAGGAACACTGAAACAGCTTTCCAGCCCCTAGCAACAGCTATGATCTGCGGTGCTTTTGTTTATTTTCTCTCCTCGCAGGTACTGACACCTGGGCATGCCCAGAGGCACGAGGCCTTGGGTGTAAGCCAAAGGGCTCTTGGCCCTTGGCTCTTAGCCTGCAGCTCTCAGCCTGGGCCCTAAGATAGCCAGCCCAGTGAACAAGGACTTGCACAAAATGTGTTCGCTTTTTAAAAAAATGTGGTCAGTCTTATTTCTTTCAGTTATACTGTTTAATTTGGTTGTTCCAGAAATTTCTGTAAGCCACTTTGGGGAGAACAGCAGCATGTGTGTGCGTAAAGTGCCATTAAGTTGCAGCCAACGTATGGCAACCCCATAGCATTTCCAAGGCAAGAGACGGACAGAGATGGATGGCCATTGCTTGCCCCTGTGTAGCAACCAAAAAGCAGCCCAGAAATGCCTAAATTAATAAATAAGAACAGCACTGCTTGATCAGATCACCCGCACCAAGGATGATTCTTATTCTTACAGTGGCCAAACAGTATCTCCAGGAAGCTCACGGGCAGGGCATGAAACGAACAGCCCTCCCCTCTTTTTAGACCGTGGCATTTGGTGTTCAGGGTATAGTGCCTCTGAACGTTTAGTTGGATCCTTTCTTTATTAATTTGCCAGATTCTTTTTGGTATTCAAAAGGTTTACATGAATCGCCGCATTCACTCTCCACGATAAGCTTGAGCCAGAGGAAGGCCCCTCCGAGCCAACTTGCTATTGGTCGCTCCACAACAGCGACCAATCAGAACTATACCAATTCCCTGCGAGGGAAGGACTTTCATTGGATGTTATCCGCACAACCTCATTGGTTGTTTATTGTAAATAGGCGTGGCTACGTTAGCCCGGGGAATGTTTAAAAGGAGCCTAGCTCCCAATGTTAAGTTGTTCTGGTTATGACTTCTTTCAAGCGCTTGTTCGTACCTACGTTAAAGCTGATCACTTTTGTTGAAATCACTCTCCGGATCTTTTAAGACCAACATCTAACAATCACTGTATTCTGTTGCAGTGGATTCCATACATTAACTCTGTGTTGTGTGAGTGACTTTTTTTTTAACCTACTGACATCTGACTTTGTTGGATGACCACCAATTCTCTAGTGTTGTGAGCAAAGGAAAACCCATCCAGGTTGTATCAGCTGTGACTCCGAGGCGGACTCTGTGTCTGAGTGGAACCCTACAGATGAACTTTGTCTCCTCAAAAGCCACTTTGTGTTTTGAAGGGGATGAAATCAATGATGTGAATGTACTTTGCAGCACAGGAAGCCTACTTGGTAGTGGAGACATTCCAAGTAAGTTGACCCTGAAGACACCTGTTACCACAGGACTGTGAGAACACTTCCATTCAAAGACATAAAAGGTACGGGAGAGATCTCTACCCATTCCTGTGAATGAATTGCCCTAATGAATCATTTAAATGAAAAGGGCGTGTACAGAGTGGGCTGGATCCAGTGCAGTGATTCTGCAGGCACAAGGACTTCTGGCCACAGAGTGTGATGTTCCCCCCTCCTGTTCTCTGGAAGGCTCCCTCCCCCTCCTGTTTTCTGGAGGGCATTTCAAGCTGCCGCACGAGGGGAAGGCGGAGATAGTTGCAGTATGCAGGTGAAACAAAGTTTGAGTCCAGTGGCACCTTTAAGACCAACAAAGTTTTATTCAAGGTGTGAGCTTTCATATGCATGCACACTTCATCAGACAATGAAATGGAATTACAGATCACAGTTGTATATGCAGCCATTTTACAGCCAGATATTGCCCCTGCAAACAAAAATGTGCTGAGTCAATTACTCATGTCCTTTTGCATTGTTACCTGCATGTGGACCTAAGGTATATATATTTACATTCTGCTTTAAGCAGCATGATGGATCGCCCTGATGCACTTAAGGTACAGAGACTTCTGAATGACTTCTCTTCTGACATCACTGAGAAGGTGGTCAAGTTTCCGTATTCTGCTCTAAAGCTGAGCAAAAGGATCCTAGAGACATAATTCTTTCATAGATGTACCTGTGGGTTACGTTTTTATTTTGTTTTAAAATTGTATAATCTGTATCAACAATTTATGTCAATAAAGGCGAACTTGAACTAGTTGTATATATAGAGGGTCGCTTGTGCCCGCAGAAATACTGTGCTGGATTCAACCTGCTTTTAGAGAATGGAGATATTCTTCCTCCCAAAATAAACACTGTGAGCCAAATTATTATTTTTTTTTTAAATGGGGGGGAAAGAAGTGTTAACAGTACTAGGGGATATAGGGCCAAGCATCATTAATTCATATCACGGAGACATCTAACATAACACTGTATTAGTCAACAACAATCTGTAGTTCACACCCTAAGAGCTGGTGTGAGACAATGAAGGGATTCTCTTGAAATCACAAAATGGGAACAAATCCCCCCTCCTTCCCACGCCTTATAGGTGGTACATCAGCATAGACATTAATCACTGTTGAGGCGAGTCAGGTTTTCCCTTTAACTCAGATTCGTTATCAGAGTCCCACTACGGTTAAAAATCCTGGCTAAAGCAGAACCCATTTAGCAACAGTCATGGTTAATGTAAGGGGCTTATGTAACCCCTCAGGCTCAGATGTTGCAAACAAATTTCAGTGGGTTGGATCCTTGCTGCTAGCGGTGGTACTTTCCCCCAGCAGAAGGAGTCTCCCCCAGATTTAAGAGGTTCTTTTATTGGCAGGAAAGCCTCTTGAACCAGAGAAACATACCCTTCACTGGAGGAAAGCACCACTGTTAGCAGAATAGATCTGTGGAATCCAACCCAGTTTGTTTGTATAGGTTAATTGCTTAGTGTACCTGCTCTCTCCCCTCACACGGCCGGCCGACTGAGATCTGGCACACAAGACTTAAGCTAACTGTGAATGAAGGTACCTTAAGAAACTAGGGTTCACCCCCCCCCCGTAACTGGCCTCCTTAACCATTATTTTAATCCTGGTTAAGAATCCCAATTACGAGGAAAGAAGCCCATTGTAGTTAGCGAAGGCACCCCCCATCCAGACAACAGAACTGATGAGAGTTAGTTAAAGAGATCTTTAATCTCTTGACACATCATGCAAGGACAGCCAATCCACCAGGTTCCTGCCCCATCACAAGCAAACTTTGTTTATGACATACAGACCAAGCCTCAAGCCTCGTTATAGCTGGAGCGGGGAGGAATTTGCCCTGAGGGAGAGGTTTATGGGATTACATCACATTCCCCATCTCTTAAACACAGAGCTCCCCCACTCCTATTACATCTGCCCCCACCCTAAAAGGTCACACTTTCTCCCCCCACCTCACTAATATATTTTCTCTCTAGATTTTACGCATTATATTTTATAACTTTTTAAACATTCTATTACTGGTTCCTCCATCTCTATTACCCGTATCTCAACGATCAGAGTATTGCACAATATTGCATTTTGCAGCTGCTGAAACAATTTAAAATATGAGAGAGAGAGAAATTTATTGGATGTTTTGTCTCATACGCCGAATGCCAATTCCCTTATGAAATCAAAACGTCTTCTTAGAAATCAGGCTAGCTGTATCATACTCAGAGCACCCTTAGTGGCCCCCGAACTCAAGACTTACATGCATTTATTTAAGATATATACATCCCACCTACTTTACACAGAGAGTGATTAAAATGTGGAAATCACTGCCAGAGGATGTAGTGATGGCCACAGGAACAAACAGCTTTAAAGGGGGATTAGATAGATTCACGGAGAAGTATCAGAGGCTGCTAGCCCTGGTGACTGAGGGGGGGGGAGTCCACATTTAGAGGCACTAATCCTCTGAATTCCGGAGCCAGGTGGCAACATCAGGGGAAGGCCTTGGCCTCTATGCCCGGTTGCTGGCTGTCCAGAGGACCTGGTTGGTCACTGTGTGAGGCAGGATGCTGGATTAGATGGACTATTTGGTCTGGTCCAGCAAGGCTCTTCTTACGTACTTATTGTTCACCTTATCACATTAGGCTCCGTGTGGCAAGGAAAGCAACCACACGTCGCAACAAAAAAACTCCCACAAAATGTAACAATCAAACCCTGATGAGGTGGAAATACTCCAGGCTGGGAAACTCCCAGAGATTTGAGGGTGAATCCTAGGGAACTCAGGGGTTGGAGAAGGGAGGGACCTTAGTGGGGTTGCCAACCTGCAGGTGGTAGCTGGAGATCTCCTGGGCTTGCAACTAATCTCCAGGCGACAGAGATCAGTTCACCTGGAGAAAATAGCAGCTTTGGAAGGTGGACTCTATGGCATTATACCCCGCTGAAGTCCCCCCCCCCTTTCCCAAACCCTGTCCTCCTTCTCAACCCCGGAGCTGGCAACCCTCGGTATAAAGCCACAGTGTCCACCGCCCAAAGCAGTCATTATCTCTAATGGAATGGATCTGAATAGCCTGGAGGTCACTTGAAATTGTGGGAGATCTCCAGGCCCCACCAAGAGGCTGGCCACAGTAGCCTAATCTCATAACAATGCTTTAAAGGTAAAGGTTCCCGTGCTCGAAAGCCAGTCGAATCCGACTCTTGGGTTGCGGCACTCATCTTCATTTCAAAGCCGAAGAGCCAGCACTGTCCAAAGATGTTTCCATGGTCATGTGGCCGGCATGACTAAACACCAAGGCGCACAGAACGCTGTTACCTTCCCACCAAAGTGGTACCTATTTATCTACTTGCAATTCTTGCTTTCGAACTGCTAGGTTGTCAGGAGCTGGAACTAGAGACGGGAGCTCACTCCGTCATGTGGCACACTCGGGTCTCGAACTGCTGACCCACCGACCTTCCACAGCCTGCAGGTTCAGCGTCTTAACCACTTGAGCCACCGCAGCTCCTACAATGCTTTACCTTCCACCAAACACCAGCATGGTGTAGTGGTTAAGAGCGGCGGACTCTAATCTGGAGAACTGGGTTTGATTCCCCTCTCCTCCTCCACATAAAACCTGCTGGGTGACCTTGGGCCAGTCACAGTCCTCTCAGAGCTCTTTCAGCCCCACCCACCTCACAAGATGTCTGTTGTGGGGAGAGGAAGTGAAGGCGATTGTAAGCCGCTCTGAGACTCCTTTGGGTACGGGGTATAAGAACTAACTCTTCTTCTAAAACTGCTTTATAAGCTTCCACAGATGCAGAAAGGGAAGGTGCCCTCCGCACTTATTCTAGTAAACCAATCCAAAGGACCGATCCTCCCACACAGAAAGCCCACAACCTGATTGTTGCCAAAGCAATCCTAACAGAGGGTGGCATGAGGATAAGGCTGTCTGAATATCACAGTGGGTGCACGGGTGTACATTTATAGAGCAAAACGTAATAAATGGTAGAGAATGGACCGATTTAGCTCTCATCGTAGGATGGTAAAGATAGCCTGCATTGCAGAATTTGATTACGGACAATAAACTTTTAAAAACATAATCCTTAATTATTGTTTGTGCTGCATTTCCACTGTAACGACTTTTGGTTAAATGACTGATCAATAACTGTTTCATAATTTAAAATAACTTCAAACGTTATGCACAAATTTACTGTTCTCAGATGCCCAAGTGAAACAGCAACTGTGTCTAGAGGCAGAGTAACTCTGAAGTTTAGCTGCACAGCACAAACTCAGGGGCACACCCTCCCAACAGGAAAGAAAAACCAGCCAGTGGAGTGGGGCATTCTAATCTGGCCTAGTGAGAACAGGATTGCAGGAGCGGCGGTACGACCTGGTCAATTTTCTCCACAATGTAAAACAGAGATCTTGCAAACACTTCCTAAACTGCAAACAGCACTGATAATCTTGCAAACGCTTGCTAATGCAAAAGCACTGGGCTGATTTGCTGGAAAGAGTTCTGTCGTCTCCCCCCCCCCTTTTAAAATAATTTTTAATTAATTTTAACAGTAACTTGAACAATAACGGACAATATACACATTATCTAATAACAATCCAAAATTATCGCATTACTGGGAAGGGTTTTGTGACTGAATGATGATAATAATTATTTTTAAACAGCCAACCTCAATACCTCCAGTACCAAATACATCCAGGGAGCCTGCATGCACGCAATCCCTCACCTTCCGCCGGTCTTTCTTGTCTTCCTTCTTGGTGAAAACGGTATGTACCCACCAGATCTTGGTGAACATGCTGCCATAGCCCAGGCCAAAACCCAAGCTCAGGAGCCAAAGGCGAGCCTGTGGGTGGAGACAAGACCCGTGGTGAGAGCTCCTCCTACTGCCGGATTTTACCCAGCATGCCTAAGAACTGCCAAGTGTTCCCACAAGGCGTTGGCAGGGAGCCTCACTGGAAGCTAGGCTAGCAGACATTTGTAAAATGCAGTCAGTAGATAAGGCCACTTCCAAATGCGTGGAAAGTGGGAGGCGGGAGGACCATTTAAAGCACAGCAGGAGGTGGAAGATGAGCCCCCGCTCTCCTCACACATATCCCCCCCCCCAAAAAAAAGAAACTCCTTTACCGTAGATGGTTTTCTCCCAGTGGAGTTCTGAGACCAAAATTCCACTGAGACACACACACACACACAAAAAAGGCTGGGGGCAAAGCAATTTCGATGGAGGAGAGATCCCCCCAGATCTCTCCTGTCTCCCCCCAATGTCATGCTTTAAATCCTCCCTCACTGCTTCATACAACGCTATCTAGTATGCTTTTATCCTGCCTTCCTCCTTGGAGCTCAGGGGTTTACAGTTTCCCCTTCCTCGTTTTATCCTCACAACAATCCCGTGAGGTAGGCGAGGCTGCAGGAGTGTAACTGGTCCAAGGGCACCCAGTGGCCTGCATGGCAGAACAGAGACTTGAACTCAGGCTTCATGGATCCTAACCCAACATGCTTAACCACTGAAGCACACTGGCTTTCTAATGTAGCACTTAGGCCACTGTGCTGCCGTAACATACGCTTTGCCCCACAATTTGAGTCTCATTCCTTCCCCACGTTCTGAGTGCCCTCCCCACAGCTTCCAGCCTTTCTCCCCATTTTGGTTCTTCTTCCATCCTACGGATGACCGACATCTTGGTCAGTGCACTAAGTCAGAACACCCTCCACAGCACAGAGCTTCCAGGCCAGAATGGCCCCTCGTCCAGCTTTAGGAGCCCACATGGCTCGTCTTAAGAGCAGCTCAAACGTACCTG